CCAGACTATAGAGGGTCTATAGTCCAGACTATAGAGAGTCTATAGCCCAGATTATAGAGAGTCTATAGTCCAGACTATAGAGAGTCTATAGTCCAGACTATAGACAGTCTATAGTCCAGACTATAGACAGTCTATAGTCCAGACTATAGAGAGTCTATAGTCCATACTATAGGCAGTCTATAGTCCATACTATAGACAGTCTATAGTCCATACTATAGACAGTCTATAGTCCATACTATAGACAGTCTATAGTCCATACTATAGACAGTCTATAGTCCATACTATAGACAGTCTATAGTCCATACTATAGACAGTCTATAGTCCATACTATAGACAGTCTATAGTCCATACTATAGACAGTCTATAGTCCATACTATAGACAGTCTATAGTCCATACTATAGACAGTCTATAGTCCATACTATAGACAGTCTATAGTCCATACTATAGACAGTCTATAGTCCATACTATAGACAGTCTATAGTCCATACTATAGACAGTCTATAGTCCATACTATAGACAGTCTATAGTCCATATTATAGACAGTCTATAGTCCAGACTATAGAGAGTCTATAGTCCATACTATAGACAGTCTATAGTCCATACTATAGACAGTCTATAGTCCAGACTATAGACAGTCTATAGTCCAGACTATAGAGAGTCTATAGTCCAGACTATAGAGAGTCTATAGTCCAGACTATAGAGAGTCTATAGTCCAGACTATAGACAGTCTATAGTCCAGACTATGGACAGTCTATAGTCCAGACTATGGACAGTCTATAGTCCAGACTATAGAGAGTCTATAGTCCACACTATAGAGAGTCTATAGTCCAGACTATAGAGAGTCTATAGTCCAGACTATAGAGAGTCTATAGTCCAGACTATAGAGAGTCTATAGTCCAGACTATAGAGAGTCTATAGTCCAGACTATAGAGAGTCTAAAGTCCAGACTATAGAGAGTCTATAGTCCAGACTATAGAGAGTCTATAGTCCAGACTTTAGAGAGTCTATAGTCCAGACTATAGAGAGTCTACAGTCAAGATTATAGAGAGTCTATAGTCCATGCTATAGAGAGTCTATAGTCAAGGTTATAGAGAGTCTATAGTCCAGACTATAGAGTATGTATAGTCCAGACTATGGAGAGTCTATAGTTCAGACTATATAGAGTCCATAGTCCAGACTGTGGAAAGTCTATCTTCCAGTCTAAAGATAATCTGTAGTTCAGACTATAGAGAGTCCATAGTACAGACTGTGATGCAGATTATAGAGTCTATAGTCCAGACTATAGAGAGTCTATAGTCCAGACTTTAGAGAGTCTATAGTCCATGCTATAGAGAGTCTATAGTCAAGGTTATAGAGAGTCTATAGTCCAGACTATAGAGTGTGTATAGTCCAGACTATGGAGAGTCTATAGTTCAGACTAAATAGAGTCCATAGTCCAGACTGTGAAAAGTCTATCGTCCAGACTAAAGATAATCTGTAGTTCAGACTATAGAGACTGTGGAAAGTCTATCGTCCAGACTAAAGATAATCTGTAGTTCAGACTATATAGAGTCCATAGTACAGGCTGTGGAAAGTCTATCGCCAAGACTAAAGATAATCTTTAGTTCAGACTATGGAGTGTCTATCGTCCAGACTATGGAAAGTCTATAGTCCAGACTTATGAGGGGCTGTCGTATGGACTATGGCGAGCATCCCATCTAAACTATATAGAGTTTGATCTTTTGTGAACTGACAGCAAAATGTTAATGTATGTTTTCTCAAGATTTGATCCTTTCATTAATGGTAGTTTTTCGTTTCCCCCTTCTCTGAGCTTTAGAGTTCAGAATTCCTTTACCTTATAGCAATTAAAAGATAACCATAATTTTTTTTAAATTTTTTTATATATTTTGTTGTATAAGTATAATTATTTATAATCATAAAATTTGTTTTTGTTTTTAATCTTTTAAATACATTATTTTAGCTTTTAGTTTACAAGACAAACATAATTTTTATGGTTTTTGTGTGGTTTTAAAAATTTAATACAAAAAAATCTTGTTTTTAATTTCAAATTTATGATTTGAACTGTAGCCCAAAAAAAAAAAACGAGTAAAATATAATTAGCAAAAATATCAAACAATTATAAATTTGTTTAAGGTAAAGTTAAAAATAATATGATCAATGTAATGTAAAAGAAAACAAAAATATCGAAAATCAATTAAGTATAGAAGGGAAAAAGAATAAAGTTATAGCAGACAACTTAAGTTTAAGAAGTTAGGAAATAGAAAAAGTAAAAATCTTTGTTGTTAGATGACTACCAATAAACTTAGCTTAAACAATTAGAAGTTCTTTTTAGTGAAAAATAAATCGAAAAAAGGTTTCGAGTAAAAAGAAAAATAAAAAAACACGGCAGCATTAACAAGAAAACTAGAAATATTACAGTTTTTTACGTTTTAATTTAGCAATGATGGATAGAGTTGGTGTTGGTTGCTATAGCTGTTGGCAACGCGTTACCGGCGCATTTGAAAACCAGTAGTACCATCTGGACCCCGAGGCAAACGTAATATCGTATCATTTTGTTGTTGTCTTAAAGACGCGGAAGAAACACTGCCACCCACAACAGGAGACCAAGTTTGTTGCTGTTGCTGTTGTTGTTGGACTTTATGTTGCTGTTGTGGTGATTTTTGATGATATTGTTGATATTTCAAATGTTGCTGCTGATGTTGGGGAGTTTGTGGTGCAGCCTGATATTGGGCTGGTTGACCTATAGCACCCATAGGACCTAAACCCAACAGGGGATTCATATTGTATGTGCGATTATTGTTGTAGGCAGGTGATTGTGGCTGTTGTTGTTGTTGTTGCTGCTGATTGTAATAATAATTTTGTTGTTGTTGCTGCTGAAAATTTTGTTGATATTGTTGTTGTTGCTGCTGCTGTTGTAATTGTTGATTGTAGTGATTGTTGTATTGATTTACAGCACCTGGTATTTTTGGCGTATTGATTTTTGTTGTAACCATCATATTCGTTAGAGAGTTATTGCTTAATGCTGCCGCCGTTACCGTAGGAGTAGTTGGTGTTGGATTAGTGCTATTGCTAGTTACCGATGTTGTGGTAGCTGTTGTAGCTCTTTAAAATAAATGGTGAAAAGAAACGTTTGTTATTGCAAGAGAATTTGATGAATTTTGTTTTTGAGTGAAAATTTTTAATGAAAACTTTTAAGTGAAATTTTTGGTGAAAATTTTTAGTCAAGTTTTTAGTGAAATTTTTTGGTGAAATTTTTAAAAATGTTCTATAAAAAAACTTACTTTTGTTCATCATCTTCCGGATTCTTAGCTGAACCCAATATTCTAAGTCTTGCTTCAGCATATTCTTGTTCTCTTTGCTGTAATGTTTTTATTGGCTGCTTGGGACGTATACCATTATTACGGGGTTCCGTAGATTGTGTTGGCCTTCTAAGGATTTTCACCGTTTGATTAGCTATGGGAGCTGTATAGTTGGCAGATTGATATTCATCCTGTGGCTTGTGTAAAACCATCATAACCGGTTGAAAACTAGCCGCCATATCATCCAAAGGCGATTTGGTTGATTGCTGGGACGTCGTATTCGTGTCCTGAGTAGTAGTAGTAGTAGTGTTAGTCGAACGTTGCAACAACTTCATTTGTATGGGTCTAGTTGAAGACGTAGTGGTTGTTGATGAAATTAAGGCAGACGTGGATATGGCTGTAGTAGATTGAGTATAAATACTTCTTGTGATTCTTTCAGTAGCTGCAGAAGAAGCTGACGAGGTTTTTATATTTTGTAACTAAGAAAAATAGAGAAAATTAGTTGTTGCTTAAGATAATGTAAACAAATAAGTTTGCGACTTCTTACCCCTGCTTCATCAATTTCTTCCCAATTGTCTAGCACATCGTCACCATTTGACATGGCCTTTAGCTGTAAACCTCGGCTTGATCAAATATCCGCCACAAAATTCTTTTTAACAACTTTTGTTCGTTAAAGTTGTGTTTTTCAAAAGAGTTTTGTTTCGCCTTTCTATCCTTTTTTGTATATAAAAATATCCACAAAATTTTCTCAATCTTTAACAAACTGAGAATTTTGCTTCCACTTTATTTCCTTTCAAAGCCCTTCCATATGTTGTTTTAGTTGTAATGTAATGGGACCGGCCACTTTTTTATAACCCTTATAAGTTCACCTGACTGTGGTGCCACAACGATAGCAGTTGTTGCTGTTGTTGTGATTATTCCTATTATAATAGTTGCTGAGGCTCAGGGCTGTCAACGTCTCTGCTACCGTCGCTTGTTTTGCTGAAACTGCTTTAACTTTTTCTTCGCTTTTTTTTTCTTTCGCCCAGCCTTCGTTTTGGTAATTTTTTTCTTCTTCATGCAATAATCGAGCCAGCGTTGCAATATTTCTTTATTTTATTTGTCTTAACTGTTGTTGGGTTTTATAACTTTTTATTGATTATTTTTCTTAACAATTTTCTCTTTTAATATTATTAAATTATTATATAGAATTTGTGTAATTTTAAATTTTGTATTGAAAAGAAAATTTTTACACTTCCTTAAAAAGAATTTCTCTGCTCCTCTGCGTTAAAAAAAGAAAATGTGTGATGACAAATTCGCTGTATTTCTCGCTCTCTCTCTGTCTTATTCATTTTCTGACAGTTCCCCTCGTGTTTCGTAACAGGGTTGTTAAAATGGTATTATAGGGACAGAGATGCCACTTCAATAAAGGTCATGCTATTATAAAATATATATTTTTTATTTTTTATTGTACAACAAATTTATTTAAATTTTTGTTAAAACTTATAAAAACTTCAGAAAATATTTAAATCTGTATTTTACATTTACAATCAAAGATAAATAGTAAGCATTTTATTGCAAACAGTTCTAAAAATTCATATGGCAACCTTGGCATAATATAATTTCCCCTATTGGTTTACATTAAAACTTCTGGCATCTCCATCACTTCACATACAGAGTTGTTTTCTTAATTATTTCATTTACTTCTCCCTTCTTTCGTAAAAGCTGAAACCAACAGCTGTTTAATTTGTCAATTTTTTATTATTATTCTTACCTTGAATGTGTCATTAATTAAAGTGCAACTGCTTTTAATTGGCAGTATATAGTAGTAATTTTTTAATAAAATTTTTGACTAAAATAAAGAACCTACGCCGTTAACACAAATTTATTATAAACAACCAACCCAGCAATGGACTTTACCTCGTTTGCCAAACCCAGCAAAGCTGATAGTGCTGTCGCCGATTCTGCAAAAACTCCTGAAGAATTACACTTTTGGAAACATGTAGAATATATTGAGAATCATGGTAAAGATCAGGATGATTATGAATATTGTATGACCGAATTTCTACGCATGTCTGGCATCTATTGGGGTGTCACCGCTTTGGATATTATGAATCAATTGGAGCGCCTTGACCGGCCGTCGATAATTGAGTTTATCAAACGTTGCCAGTGTCCGACGACAGGTGGTTTTGCACCATGTGAAGGTCATGACCCCCATATATTATATACTTTATCTGCAGTGCAGATATTGTGTATTTACGATGCCCTACAGGAGATAGACTGTGAGGCGGTGGTGAAATATGTGGTATCTTTGCAGCAAATAGATGGCAGTTTCTTTGGTGATCGTTGGGGTGAGGTGGATACACGTTTCTCGTTCTGTGCCGTTGCCATATTGACATTATTGAAAAAGGATTTGGCCACCAGCATTGATGTGGAAAAGGCCGTGCAATTTGTTATGTTGTGTTGCAATCAAACTGATGGTGGTTTTGGTTCTAAGCCAGGAGCAGAATCTCATGCTGGTATGTGTATTGTTTTCAGATTTTCAGCAAACTTGTTATTCAATGCTTTAATTTTAGGACTTATTTATTGCTGTGTGGGTTTTTTGTCTTTAACCCAACGTTTACACCTTTTGGATGTGGATAAATTGGGTTGGTGGTTGTGTGAGCGTCAATTGCCTTCTGGTGGGCTTAATGGTAGACCTGAAAAACTGCCTGATGTCTGCTATTCCTGGTGGGTTTTAGCCTCTCTTACCATAATGGGACGTCTACATTGGATAAGTGCCGAAAAATTAAAACAATTTATACTCTCCTGTCAAGACAACGAAACTGGTGGTTTTGCTGATCGTACTGGCAATTTGCCCGATATTTTCCACACTCTCTTTGGTATAGGAGCTCTCTCATTATTGGGCTTTGATGGCCTCAAACCCATTAATCCTACTCTCTGTATGCCTCAATATGTTATGGATCGTTTGGATATTAAGCCTCAAATATTAGAAAGACCTTAAATCCTGCAGCTAATAGCCACTAGTTGCTGCAGTTGTAATCGCACGATTTTACCATTGAAAAGACGAAAGCTTTATGTAGGCCAAGAAAGCATAAAATAACTCTCTCACACTCTATTAACTTTCTTCCAAACACTTTTTCTCTTAATAAGTGCACCATCTCTACACACTACATAACTTTCAAATTCTACTGAAAGGAAAACCGAAACCTAAACTTTAAACAATTTGCATTTGTAATTTCTTAAACAGCAGGCACTATTTTTTTATATATAAAAACTAACTCATTCTTAACTATTTTTTATTAAATACAAGAACATTATTTTTTTTAATATTTATTTTTCAACTATGATTTTTTTCTTTAACATCTTAAAAGTTCTAGTAAAATTATTGTATTTTTTTATAAATATATAAATATTATAATATAAAAAGAAATATTAGCTTTATTATTTTTGCATTTACCAATTTAAGTAAAATAGTAAATGAAAAACAGAGTTATTTTAAATTATTTATAAAACTTTATTGAAGACAAAACTAAAAAAAAAAAATATATAAAAAATAATTTTTAATAAAATTGTGGATTTTTTTAATAAAGGGGAATATTTTAAAGTGATGTATTACACAAAAATATGAATTTCTTTAAAAAACTTTCCTTAAAGGGAATCTTTTCGAACAAGAGGAAATTTCACTAACGTTTTCTATTTTGTTTATTTTTTTAGTTTTAAACAAAGTTTAATTTTAAAAAATATAAAATTTTTATACAAAACCAAAAATTTCCTTTTAGGGGAAATTTTTGTAAATTAGGAAAATTTTTGAAATTTTGTTTTCTCTTATTTATTTCATTTTAAACAAAATGAACCAAAAATTATAAATTTCGTAACAGGGGAAATTTTTAAAATTTTATTTTATTTCGTTCGTTTACTTAATTTTAAAGAAAATTAACTAAAAATATAAATTTTTATTTAAAAACAAAAATTTTCCTTGAAGGGAAATTTTTCTAAATTAGGGAAATTTTACAAATTTTGTTTTATTTCGTTTGTTTATTTAATTTTAAAGAATATTAACTAAAAAATATGATTTTTTATTTAAAAACTAAAATTTTAAAAAATTTGTTTTATTTCCTTTATTTATTTAATTTAAAACAAAACAAACCCAAAAATATTCATTTCTATATAAAAACAAACATTTCCCTCAAAGGCAAATTTTTCGAAATAGGGGAAATTTTAAAAATTTTGTTTCATTTCGTTTGTTTATTTAATTTTAAAGAAAATTAATTACAAAATATGAAAATATATTTAAAAACAAAAATTTCCCTTGAAGGGAAATTTTTCTAAATTAGGGAAATTTTAAAAATTTAGTTTTATTTCCTTTATTTATTTAATTTAAAACAAAACAAACCCAAAAATATTAATTTCTATATAAAAACAAAAATTTCCCTTAAAGGGAAATTTTTCGAAATAGGGGAAATTTTAAAAATTATGTTTAATTTTGTTTGTTTATTTAATTTTAAAGAATATTAACTAAAAAATGTGATTTTTTATTTAAAAACAAAAATTTCCCTTGAAGGGAAATTTTTCTAAATTAGGGAAATTTTAAACATTTTGTTTTATTTCCTTTATTTATTTAATTTAAAACAAAATAAACGCCAAGATAATAAAATCTATACAAAAACAAAAATTTCCCTTAAAGGGAAATTTTTCGAAATAGGGGAAATTTTAAAAATTTTGTTTCATTTCGTTTGTTTATTTAATTTTAAAGAAAATTAATTAAAAAATATGAAAATATATTTAAAAACAAAAATTTCCCTTGAAGGGAAATTTTTCTAAATTAGGGAAATTTTAAAAAATTTGTTTTATTTCCTTTATTTATTTAATTTAAAACAAAATAAACGCCAAGATAATAAAATCTATACAAAAACAAAAATTTCCCTTAAAGGGAAATTTTTCGAAATAGGGAAAATTTTAAAAATTATGTTTTATTTCGTTTGTTTATTTAATTTTAAAGAAAATTAATTAAAAAATATGAAAATATATTTAAAAACAAAAATTTCCCTTAAAGGGAAATTTTTCTAAATTAGGGAAATTTTAAAAATTTTGTTTTATTTCCTTTATTTATTTAATTTAAAACAAAACAAACCCAAAAATATTAATTTCTATATAAAAACAAAAATTTCCCTTAAAGGGAAATTTTTCGAAATAGGGAAAATTTTAAAAATTATGTTTTATTTCGTTTGTTTATATAATTTTAAAGAAAATTAATTAAAAAATATGAAAATATATTTAAAAACAAAAATTTCCCTTGAAGGGAAATTTTTCTAAATTAGGGAAATTTTAAACATTTTGTTTTATTTCCTTTATTTATTTAATTTAAAACAAAATAAACGCAAAAATAATAAAATCTATAAAGAAACAAAAATTTCCCTTAAAGGGAAATTTTTCGAAATAAGGGAAATTTTAAAAATTTTGTTTTATTTTGATTATTAATTTAACTTTAAGCAAATTCAATTAAAAAATATGAATTTTTATTCAAAAACAAAAATATCCCTTAATGGTAAAATTTTCGAAATTTAAATTTTAAAAAATTTATTTAAAAAACTTGACCTAAACGAAAAAGGAGGGAATTTTTTTTTAAATTTCATTTTAAAGTAAAAGCTTTAAAATGCAATAACGTTTTAAAAGTGTTCTTTATTATTTTTTATTGATAAATTTTTTAAAATTAATCTAAGATATTTTTAATTTTGTCTTTTTGCACAAATTTAAATTATTTTATTAAATTCTTGACTACTAACAACAGAAGAAAGATAGTAAACAACTTAAAACTTAAATAAATTAAACTATATACAACATAGTTTTTATTATTTCCAATTAGCAAACATTTTAATTAATTTAATTTAAACAAAAATACTACACTGGCCCCTACATTTAACAAGAAAATATGAAAAAGAATAAATCAAAGGGAAGAAAAAAAGTTAGCTAAAATCCTAAGGCACTATTAGATAAAAAAAAATTTTGCAAAACATTTACAAAAAAAAGTAAAAAGTATTTGGAAAAAATTAACAAATTTTAAACTAAATTAAGAATTATATTTATCATCACTAGTTAAAACATTGTAGGCACAGCCTAAAGCCCAAGAGATTTCATGACCATCGATTTTTTTGTACAACTGCAAAAGAAAATAACAAATAATATTTTAAGTTCTAAAATTTCAATTAATAAAACTCACCTTAATCTTTTTGCCCTCGCCCAAACCGAAACCCTCATGCAATAGCACCGATATATAGGTGAGATCAAAGCACATAAAAGGCTGTTCATCATTGGGTATGGCACACACCTCTTGAGCTTTTTTACGAAAAGCTTCCACCGTGATCTCGCCTCCTGCGAACGGATCGATAAGACCCGATTCAGTGGCTCTCTCAAAATAATAACTGAAAGCCGCTATGGTATGCTGTTTCAAGGTGAATGGTTTGGGTTTAACCAAAGGCATTACTTTACTCTTAACCAAATCCAAACAGCTATCAAAATCGACTATGGGATTTTCTTGTGTAGACTTGGCATGATCCTTGCCCGAGATTTTATAAGCCACATTACTATAAGTCCAGGTTCTGTTCGCTATAATGGGATTAACACAAACCGATTCTAAATTGGTTTCTTCGTTGTCATAACCTTTGGTGAAAACAGCATGTCTGGCCGCCATTAGACCCAAACCCAAATAGGAGTGGGTAAATACATTGATTTTCTTATTTAAGGTATTGACCTCATGCATGTATTTGTCATATACCGGCACCTGTTCGGGATCGGTGGGTGAAAAGGTCACCTGGGTACTGCCACCGCCCAAATCTAAGGCCGCTGCCTGATTGGTTTTCGATAGACGTCCTAAAAGAAAATTCACTGTGAACCAGGAGAAAATGCCCTCATCGGTGCCATCCATAATTTCCACCGCATCCATTTCTACACTAAATTCGGACTTTGTAAAGAGATTCCTTACGGCATTTAAAATATTCTCAGCTTTGCTGTGTGGCAACAGACGCAAACCAGCTGTTGCTTTCAACACCAATGGAGTGGAAGACCATTTGTCTTTGGGTATAAAGGCGCGGGCTTCGTCTAGCAATAGCTTTATGGAATGAGCACCCTTTTCGGGGGCATCAGCAAAGGAGGAGAGACCAGGTTTGCGTTCTTTAAAAAGTTCATCGGACAGCACCAATTTATTGTCTAAAATGATTATTTTTTGTTTTAATTAAGTTTGAGTTAAGTATATATAGACTATAGACTAGACTATAGACTAGACTATAGACTAGACTATAGACTAGACTAGACTAGACTATAGACTAGACTATAGACTAGACTATAGACTAGACTATAGACTAGACTATAGACTAGACTATAGACTAGACTATAGACTAGACTATAGACTAGACTATAGACTAGACTATAGACTAGACTATAGACTAGACTATAGACTAGACTATAGACTAGCTTATAGACTAGACTATAGACTAGACTATTGACTAGACTATAGACTAGACTGTAGACTAGACAATAGACTAGACAATAGACTAGACTATAGACTAGACTATAGACTAGACTATAGACTAGACTATAGACTAGACTATAGACTAGACTATAGACTAGACTATAGACTAGACTATAGACTTGACTATAGACTAGACTATAGACTAGACTATAGACTAGACTATAGACTAGACAATAGACTAGACAATAGACTAAACAATAGACTAAACAATAGACTAAACAATAGACTAAACAATAGACTAGACAATAGACTAGACTATACACAAGACTATAGATTAGACTATAGACCAGATTATAGCTTAGACTAGACTATGGACTGGTCTATGGACTAGGCTATAAAAAGTCTATATTTTATATACTTTCTTTTAAATTTGTTTCCCACTGTCCACTTACCTATAAAACTACGATCAAATTTATAAGCCAAAACACGACTACCCGTTGAGCCAGCATCTATAATCACAGCATATTGATTTTTATTATAACCCAATTTGGACGCTAATTGCACTAAAAATGGACTAGTGGTGTCAATATATAAACCTGCAGATAAAATATTAACTATTTTAATAAAAATATAAATAAATACCAACTCTCACACTTACCAAAGCCGACTAATAACAAAACTACCGATATAATCAAGCATAAAAATGATATTTTGAGCCCCTTGGGTAAGCCGCCGGAAGTGGATGGTTTGCGTCTAGTGTTTGTAGTAACATTCGATTTGTCATCACTAGTGCTTAACTGAAAATTGTAAACAAAAGATTCCTTATTGTAGTATAAGCAAAAAAAAATTATCGAAAATATTAAAATGTCTGTGTGGCAAAATGTATCTTCACCACCCACCAAAACGTAGTCAAATTTCATATTTAAACCCAGTTATTCTATTTTAAAATAAACACTGTACTCCAGACGTTGTCGTAATGTTAAATATTTAATATTGTGATAAAAACATTTTATTTTCTGAAATTGTTCTTGGTTTTTTTGTTTAATTTGTTAAAGTACTTTTTTTTTTCTTCGATT